CCACGATCATGATCTATATTTTCATCATTTTATGTAGTAATTTATTTTTATTTCATGTTTTTCCGTTTTTGCCCTTATGGGTATTTGATCATCACAGTCCCTATTTTTCTGACTACGGCCTCCGACACTAGTGGACGCCTTCGACGACCAATTCTCCGACTACACGTGCATCATCGAAAGTCATCCGCCCGCTTCTCCAACTCCCGCTTCTTCCCCGGCGACAAGTCCTCTCGGCATCACATGTGTCTTAGTGGTATCGCTAAGTTTTCTTGCAACCCTCTTCCGCTAACCTCCACGTCAAAGAGAGATTGTCGGACCTCAAGGTGAATGGTCTAAATTTTAAATGTGTGGCTTTAGTAATAGCTATTTGCATTATTTAATTATCTTTTGGTTATCTTTTGCAAGACTCTTGTAACTCTCAAGTGTAATCAATGTCTATCGCTTAATCTATCACGAATTTTCTTGAATCCTACTTGAGTAAGCTAGATTTTATTGTTAATGTTGCAAAGTTAAAGTTTTCACTAATCTCTAAAGTGCAATTCATGTTTCACCCCATGTTCGTATCACATCAGAAATATAGAGTAAATTTGGATTTCACCAAAATTTTACTACGCATTCCTTTTTTTTCATCAAATAAAACATCAAAATTCTTAAAACTCCTACATTTAGAATATTTTACTCACTTTTCATCAAATCAAATAGCCCTTAAATAAACTATTTTGAATGAGACCTTGAACTTCATTCAATAATGTTATGTTTTCATTATGTCATGCTTTGTACAAAAATCAATGATGATTTTATAGGATGAAGCACGTTGCATGGGTCATGCCTATAATCACTAAGTTTTGGAGTATATGTATGTGCATCAAAACACTTTTGACATGTTTACCACACAAATCGAAGGTGAAAAAAATTAACAAATAAGGTTTTAAAGACTAAGGACAACAAATGATTAAGATTCAACATTTTGGAATAATATTTTTGAGCAAAAGAGATGTTACTAGTGAGATACAAAAGTTTCCTGTTATAAAATGAACACGGCTCATGATGATAAAACATAGGGTAAGGATGATTAAATATAAGCTAATAAAAATCACATCATTATTTGTAATCAACTTAGTTTTTTTACAAGGTAAATCTACTATGGAGCTGGTTTTTGCAAATTAACTAATATAATGCATAGAAGACAATGAAAGGATTGCCAAATGCTTTCCTGATTTGACGAGGCGCGTGAACTACAAGAATAGGTTTAATGGGCAATGAGAAAATTGTGTCTCAAATGTATGCTGAAGTTCAAAAGATATGCATGGTGGATAATGATTAATATTTTAAGTAATTCTAGTCATAGCAGGATAATATAAATAATCAACATGACGTTCAAATCTTTATGTATTGGTTATCGACATGTTTACAAAATTTTATTCAAAGCAACCTTTGCAAATAATTTTAGCAACAACAGAATTTTGATAGGGGAGACATTAGAAAATAAATTAAAAGAATAATGTAATAAAGTTTTATAAGCTATGAGTCATGAGATTACTTGCCCAAATGTTTAACATATAATATCTAAATTTTATGGAAAAAATTAAAATGTTAATATGAATTCCTGTTAACTAAGAAAGTATGGAGTGAGAAATTATTAACACTAGATACTTATGAAATAGAACTAATTGAAGATAACATAAACTGCTCCTCTTTAACGAAGCTTAACCCATTAAAAAGTAAGTTTAAAATAGAGAAATTCACCTTATTCATCAAAACCATCATCAATTTTAAATAGGAAGCGCAATGAAAGAAACAACATTATATTTTATCACAGTAATTCAATTTTTAACAGATGAGAAAAGTTACTTGCATCGTACAAACAAAGCAAAAGTAGAAAAAATAATATAAACAAGGTTCACAAGTAACTGTAACTCATTGAATAGTACACTCTGAATAAAATATGGGTTACTATATTCTATACTGACCTTTGAGGATATCTCACGCTTCAATTTTGAAATTTCTCCTATGACCTTTGTTCTAGTCTTGTTCAGCTCTTCAATCTCCTTTCCACAGCCATCTGCGTTGATCTTCCACTCTGAGCAGTAACAGAGATCCCAATCATAGAAAAAACATAAGAAATGAGCAATGAAAAATTTACTCATAACTAGTTAATATGTAATAAAAAATACTGGTTAAAGCCATTAAAACTGGAGGTGATTCATAACAAACTTAAAAAGGCCTAAATGCTATTAGAACTTATATGAATTAACAAAAGAATTTAAAGGTTCAACAGTCAAACACTGTTAGAAAAAAACAACCTACATAAAATATTTTTCTAGCTTATATTTTATTATGGACATTGGCTTGTCAAGTCATTAAAAAGAATATAATGCACGTTTTACATATCTCTAATTTATTGTTCAAAGCGATGGAGCATTAGATGGGGGTATTATTACTAGAATTCAAGTTGGATGGTTGAAGTCGAGGAATTATTTGGACCAACTGTGTGATAGATAAGAATTTCTCAAACTTAAGAGAACAATTTATAAAATGGTGGTGAAACTTACAATGCTTTATGATATAGAATGTTGACCATTAAAAGAGAGAAAAAGATCAAAATGGTTCTTCAACTCTTTGTGAGAGACCAAAATAATCCTCAACTCTTTTGAGGGGCCAATTTGATCCCTCAACTCTTTAAAAAGAGACATTTTTATCTTAAAATCTAATGTTGGAGCTAATGATGTTAAATATAAGGATATTTCGGCCAGTTTTTAATTAAATATTTATTAAATATAATTTTCAAGTAATTATAAATTTTTTTAAAAAAATTATTAAATGTTTCTTTTATAAAAAAATTAATAATGATTTTAGTTTTAGTTTAAAAAAATTTAATCATATTTTATAATATATGATATTTATTGATTTAGAGAAATCAAATGCAAATGGATGTTATTTTCAACTTAGTCACACCTATTTTTATCAATTATAATTTATAAAATATGACTAAAATTTTTTAAATTAAAATTAAATTTATTATTAATTTTTTATTAAAGAAATATTTAATAAATTTTAAAAAATGATAATTACATGAAAATTATATTTAATTAATTTTATTTAAAAATGACCAAAATATCATTACATTTAATACCATTAACTCTAGCATTTGATGTTAGGACTAAAAATATCTCATTTTAAAAATATGAGGGAACAAATTGGTCCCTCAAAAGAGTTAGGGATCATTTTGATCCCTCACAAAAAGTTGAGGGACCATTTTAATCTTTTTCCCAAAAGAGAAACATAAAATTATAACTAGTGTTGCAAAGATGAGATACCCAAGTGAATGAGAGGCTTCATACTTAGAGACATAATGCAAAATGAGTATATACGTGAAAAGGTTGCAGTAGCTCCAGTGACAGATAAGATTAGAGAGAATCACCTTAGATGGTTTATTCACATAAAATGTTAGCCTTCTCATGACCGAGTAGATATATTAGATATAGTCTAATTTAAGAAAAGTAGAGGTAGACCTAAAAGGACTCAGTTAGAAAGAAATAGAAATTCACATGGTGGGATAAAAGCTTGTTATTTTTATTGTTATATATTTTAATATGGGTAGAACAATGAATATAACTAGTAAGGTTCAAATAGCAAATAATATGATTCAACAACTACCCTAGCCATCATCATCAACATGCCAACCATTGGTGCGCAATTACTCACCTTATACATGCCTAAAGGACATAAATATATTTCTTATAATCTTGTATGCAACAGGCGCCACTATGTCTTATTCCGCACTCTATCCTTCCTAATTTAATCAATATCACGATTAAAATTTACAATTCTACAACACTTTGTTATTAGCTGTTTTTGTTGTTGTTGTTGCACCAAACACAAAAAAAGGAATGTTGTTGTTTTTGCACCAAACAAATGAATACATCTCATTTTCATTTCATAGTGTGCCTTTTAAGTCTCCATAATCATCAGTATTACTCTTAACCATTAAGGATCCACTTTCTCACATTGAATTTGTTCTCTATGAGTGCTACATGAGAAATCAATGCATATCTTTTCACAAAACTTACAGCTAAGTTATAGTTAGTTTATCACTTATAAATCCTTTCAAATTAACCACTACATTGGTCAAACTTCTGCACTCAAATTACGTGCCAAAATCATTTAATTCTATTTAACCTTATCTTTTAATGAGAGTTATTCTCAATCTCTCAACATAACCATTTCTTACTTTATCTTTTTCTAATTTTACCTACATTCACCTTAACATAATTATTCCTAACACATTCAAATTGGCTATCAATGCAATTTTTGTATCCAGAACTTGGATCAATAAATCATGACCATCAAATTGTGATTTTGTAAATCAATCTTTTAAGTTCGTATGTATCTCTTGTGAAAGAAGACTCCAAAGGCACTTATTCATTATAATCACCAAGATTCAATCTTAGAAATTATACCTTTACCTATATCCTCATTGTTTTGTATCAAATCCAGTGCATTTAAACATATCACACTTAAGATGTCAATTGATGCTAGAATGCCAATGATATTCTTTTAATGAATAACAACCCAAAGGAATTTTCCATTTTAATCATCTAGATTTAGTAGTAAAAGTTATATTTATCGCTAAAGCTCCTCTCTAATACGACCAATATTCAAAACATATCACACAAATATTACTTGATTCTACATTATAAATTCTGATGGATCATTATTAAAATCCAAGTTGACCGTAATTGTACACAATATAGACACTTTTCATTCTACAAATCTTGAGTCTCTTATTATTATTATTATTATTATTA